TGGGTATGGTCACAGGTATTTTACAGTACCTACAGTCAATAATGGCGTGTTTTCCAGACAAACAACAGCCGTCATAAGTAAAATTTGAGAAAAATGTACTGTCATTATCTTCCTCATAGTCTTTCGTCCTTAATCGTAAGATTGTGTAACTTAGATGGAAGTTTTCTCTACATTCTGTATCATGGCCATCGCTCAGCGTCCCAGCATTCCGCCTCGGATCGTGCTAGGGTGAGTCGCCATTTTACTGTTACTGATTTAGTATCAAATTGATCTATTGAAGAAATTACTAGATACGAAGTTATTTCTCTATTGATAATGTTGTCGTAAAGAAGTTAAAGTGGTAGAGAAGGAAAAATCTTTACAATACGAAATAAAATCATTTTCAAAGAAAATACGAAGGAAAGAGATACAATAAGAATGATGTTTCCACAGGTTTAAGGATTTTGAACTTTTAGTCGTTCTTTATGTGTCTAGCAGTGCTTGCAGGTCTTAATCATTGAGTTATAATGTACGTAGTAATATTACTTCAATGGTCTTAATTTACTATTTTTCAAAAATAACAATATCAGCTCTGTGCGCAAAAAGTAAAAACAAACAACTATTGTTAACTACCAAAATCTCCTATTGATGTAAGTATTGTAATAGAGCCTTCGTCCGATCTTTGGTGCCCTCGTTAATCTCATAATTACCTGCAAATAACTACCATTAGTCAACTTTTTGCTATTCAATTGACCACAGGCTACTTCCCAACCAGACGTATCAAGGCATCCCCGTTTTCCCGTTTCCCCCGCGACATCTCGGTCGATTAGTCCCGTGTGCTCGGGCTGATTGAAAAATGTTCGCGCGTCGCGGCCCAGACGTAGCCGGGACCGGGTCGCGGGGACTCGGGACTTGGAGTAGAGTAAATACAAATGAGTAGGCCATCTTCATAGAAACGCACGGGCGCGGTATGTATGTGAGCGCGCCAACACGTATACGGCGCGCACGCACACACTGACAAAATTTAGCGGGGATTAGCGGGAAGCCAGTCATGGTTGCGCCGAATTTTGTCAGTGTGTGCGTACGCGCCGCATACGTATATTGGCACGCTCACATACAAACCGCGCTCGGTGCGTTTCTATGAAGATGACCTACTCATTTGTATTTACACTGCTTGGAGCGATAGCTGACGAAATGTGTTTAGGAATTCCTCTTTACAGCGGGGAAATAACAGCGTAGTGACGCTCGCTCGTTTTCAGGGTCTATGGTATGCCGGGCTATTTGCTGGAGAACGAAATCAGCGTTTAAACTGTTTTGTTTAAAAGGTTTAAAGAGATTTTTGTAAGAATGTAAGAAAATGCATTCAAGAGGGCTTAAAATTTGTCAGCAAGAATAAATGAGGAAGAAAATCTTTACATTCTAGGAAATATTTTTTTGCAGTTTGATAAGACGAATAATGTGTAATTTACATGTTTGGAAATTGGTTCATGTTAAGAACTAAACCAATTTGTAAATTAGCGCGTGATGACGATCAGTTTGACGGACATAAAACCAAATTAAACGCTAACATAAAGTTTTATAAGTTAAACTTACCATCAGGATCTGCTCGCGCGCTTATCGATTGGCGGTCGCGCTCCAAACCATTCACCATGGTAATTGTTCCTTGCACAGTCTTCAGCCATCAGTCCACCAAGTCAGCCACACAAACAACACTATTTTTCACAATTCACAAACAACATAATCACGCTCAAAAACAGGTATTTTATTAACAGTAAGTATGCCACAAATAACACATGCTTTCCAGAACATTTCTACGTGGATGCTCGGATGCAGTTTGATTTTTATCATTTTACGAGAAATAAATAGTATTGACAAATTAAATTCGCGTTTGACATTTTTTTTTGTCCGGATTGTAGTTTTCAACGAGAAAACAGGAAAATGAACTGATGACATACTGACGTATGCGATTTCATGATTTACCCTACAAGAGTTCAATAATTTTGAACTTGGAACGTCAATCCTCTGAAAGCTAACATGTAACATGTAAACGACAGCATGTAAGTATTTTGTGTTTTTTTTTTTCAATTTCGCATTATGGCAAAGACGTAACACATACAGTCAGCTTCAACGCCTGCGTACATTTTATTAACACATTCGTAATGTTTGAATTCGGAACGTGAGAAAATTTAATTTATAAAATAATTCGAAAATGGAACTGGCCATTGCTTTGATATAGCTCGAGTTTCATTTAATGGCGCCTGTAGTAGGTAACCATAGAAAACTGTAATATTTCAAACTGTGTCATTTTAACTGAGTGTTTCTTGTATTGCTCTTAATAGTTACACAATATTTTTTATGGCATAACAAGACATAGTCTTAAATGAGACGCAATCTAATATGGTGTATCTGCACTGTACCTAAGTGCCTATTATATTCACTCTCGCCTTGAAAAGGCCCCGATTGTAGTGAATCTTGCTCTATCAGTAACTCGCTTTATTTGTATTCAAATTATACCAGTTTTTTAGTATACCAAAAGAATCGTTCGTTCGTTTCAGCCAAATGACGTCCACTGCTGGACAAAGGCCTTCTCCAAGGTTTTCCACAATGAACGGTCCTGCGCTGCCCTCATCCAGATCTCAAAAGAAACCTACTAATGAATTTATGTACGAAACACATCACAAGTAATTAAAAAACCGGTGCACACACAAAAATCTGAAATGCAGCGAAGATTTTCTATTTGCTCAAAGAATCTGCATATAGCTGCATGCGGATTGTTTTATGAATAACACCAGTTCCCATTTTATTTATTTGCATATTTAAATGGAGCCGAGCTGCTGCCCGCGAATGGAGTCCAGCAAACATGAATGTGAGAACGTGGTAAGTCATTGGCCTGCAAAAATAAAACTGCTAGAATCTAACTGTTAATGGCTACGCAAACGTAGACAATTTAGTGACTGTCGCATTATACAAGCCACCAGTGGATATTTAACTGACTGAATTTTCATATAATCTACATGAAGTAGGTAACTTCTTTAGTATTTTTATTGTTCGCCTTCTTTATTATTAAATGTCAGTATTACAAACAACAAAAATCTAGTAACGTAAATACTCGTAGATTCGACGAAATGGCAAGATTAACATTGAGTTATTTTATACAACATTTTTCTAAGCTTGGGCACTGAACTCTACGAAGAATAACATTTAATAATTCAAGAGAAAACTCAATCATACATGCTCGTTTCTTGTACAAATAAGAGTTGTATTTTCGTGCTTACAAATTAAACAGATTTTGGAACTGTTATTTTTACTTACATAATATGAATACTATAATACTCTTACAATTATATTTGCGTTTGCCTTGTGGGTACGTACCTTTTCCAGTCTATTCTGGTTCGCTTATTTGCTTTGCTGTTAATTATCAAAGCTTTTATTGGTGACTTGTAGCCTTTTGTAAACTTTGAATAATATTAACATATTTCAATAATATTAAATCAGTAATGTAAGCTAAAAAATCTGGAACAATGAGCAATTTTTTTCTTAGTCTTCGAAATCCAAGAAAAGTTTTTGTAGAGAAAAATTGGGAATGTTTTCTGGAAACATTAAATTCGGTGAAAACTGAAAATCCTTTTTATGGGATATGGATTTCTATATTCAAGATATAGTAGTTTTTAAGACAATAACTAAGTAATAGGCTATCAAAGGCCTATTAGCACGTGGAAAAATTACCGTCCTTTCATTAAACCAACATAGGTACCTACACGTGAATTAAAATAGAATCGGTATCTTTTTAAAGACTTTACTAACTTATATTTCTTACACTCCTAGTAATTTTCTAATTAACAATGAACACAGCATGGAAGAGGTAGGTACTTAACATGATTCGGCCATTAAGTGCTTATAAACAAAGAGGTAGGTACTTATATTTCGCAATATTTAATGCAGTGTCCCAAGTCCGCAGACCATAAGCCCCTTTGTCTGCGAAAGTTTTCCAATTAAAAAGGTTTTACGCTGGTCAGCGGGGATAAGACAGTGTAAGTACATGCTATGTGGCAAGCGCTGATGGAAATGAGAGGCTTGTGTTTTAATCGGGAAGAATTGTTAGAACGTTTTGGATACAATTTTGTTCGTTCATCTCACCCGCAAGTTTCCTCAGTTACTCCGTGACCATGGCGCTTGCAACAGTGCCGAAATATCGGAAACCCGTCAGTAGGTAATAATAATTATACCAAAGGACGTCCACTGTCGGACGAAGGCTTTCCAACAGTGCACGTTTTTCCCCACGATTTCCACGACTGGTTCTGCGCTGTATTATTATTATAAGTCCTGTGTTGCCCGCAACCTTCATTAGTTTGATATGATGTTGGCAATGAAATGTAATATTATTATCTATAGAATTTACCCCCATGAAAACTACAAACTGTGCATAACTGAGTAAATTCCATATGTCGCAAATCTTCAGAAATTGCATTACCTACCATGTGAGCTCTGTTTGTTACGTCACATATCACCTCTCTCGCACTGCTCCACTACCACAGTTAAAAGCGCTATTTTTTAAAAGCAACGCTACTTAATTCTTCTGTGAATATGAAATGTCCGAAAAACTAACTAATGAACACACGTCCTTAGGTCTCATCCTCGGATATTAAGGGATATAGTGATTGATTGCGCTGCCTCGCCCTGGACCTCGGAATCCAGCATCCATCACTGTGTCAGAGCTAATGGTAACGCCTCCGAGGCGTAGTGGTTTTGACTGGTAAGGTTTGGGATCGATTCCCAGTAGAATAAACTAATAAAAAAAACTTTTAGCTGTATCAAATAAAAGTCAAATAACACTACACCCAAAAACCGTCCTCTTACCTCATCAGTATTGTTATGACATTTTTCGCCTGAGGTACAGGAAAAACTTACCTTATACGAGTAAACTGTCAAATAAGATACTCAATAAAGATTTATTTATTTTATTTTCTAGCAATTTAAATAAACTTATCTTTAATTGCAAAATAAATGTGAACTTTGAATACTGACGTCTTTGAGTCGATTTTTACCATATTGATAATACTTATTTTATTATTTCCTATTCAAAATTGAGACGCGGACTATGGAGGAAGAAAAAATTTACAAAATCATAATTTACATCGCCTCATACACGGTCCGTTATCTGTAAAGATATTTTTGAAGTCTAATCAGTCAACGATCAGTGATCAGAACGTGTTCAGCTGATCCAGTACACATTTAACTGATCTTACCTGTGAAACTGTATGTGTATAAAGCTCTTCCAGATTCCAAACGGTGTATTGGGTGTGTGCTATAAATCCCAGGATCCCATGAAGACATTACTGCCAGCTGCGCCGCGCGCGGTCCGCGTGCTAATGAGAGCTTAGTTATTGGCTTAAAACTGGATAAAGAAACTATTTGGAGTGAAGGAAAAAGAAGCCCAAAAACATGGCAATGAGGGCTATCGTTTTTATACTTAACAGTTGGTACCCCTGGCGATTGACAGGACCTTACTCTACAGTGGCGCCATCTTGATGAGCGCAAATGCAATAGTCCTCCTATCACTTTAGCGCTCACCAGCTGGCGCCACTGTCTTCGCTACTAGCAAGTGACAGGACCTTACTCTACAGTGGCGCCAACTGGTGAGCGCTAAAACGATAGCCCTCATTAAGGGCGAAAATTGCCGCAAAATCGCGACTCGGGAATCAAATTGCTGTGTGGTTCTGGCAGAGTAGAGTAGTAAGTCCACCATTCTTCCCGTGGATGTCGTAAGAGACAACTAAAGGAGAAATAAGTATGCAAACGTTAGGCTTCCTCAACCCGTCTGACCATTGAGGGAGTATAGGCCAAAACCCTTACACCCGTATTCACAAACATTACTATGAGGTCTCACAGTGCACGTGGACGCGCAGGGTCACATACGAACCAATCAGAGAGCTGTAATCAACGCTGTGCGTTCAATTTGCTGCTTCACTTATCATTTGTGAATACGGGCGTTATTTGCCTCACGTAAAGGGAACAGTCTAAATGACTTACCTACCTATTGATGAATTGATAAAATCATACAAACACGTAAACGAATGAAAACCAACTGTTCTAAACTCCGCTAAAAATTATTACATCATGACGTAGCTGTATTTTGTGGTCGCAAAATATTACAAATAAGTTTTTGTGCATAATTTTTAAATGAAGCTAAAGACATTGACGTAAAAGGTAACAATGAACCCGCATATTTTTAACTTCAGCTAGACGCAAGTAATTAGTAAAATACACTTTTGTCAGGCCTGGCTCACTCCGCGCGGTACATCCGATAATTACCTACAGCGAAGCGCCCCGCCGGCGGGTATTATATCAGTCGAGTGTCAAGCGCGCGCTCGTCAGGACGCTGGCGCGTGGCGTGCGTTGTAGTAGTATGATTATTATTCTATGATCGAAGTATTACTTAAAAATNGCCTTTTTATAGGTCCATGTAGAAAACTGTAATATTTCAAATTGTGTCATTTTAACTGAGTGTTTCTTGTATTGCTCTAAATAGTTACACAATATTTTTTATGGCATAACAAGACATAGTCTTAAATGAGACACAATCTAATAAGGTATATCTGCCCTGTACCTAAGTGCCTATTATATTCACTCTCGCCTTGAAAAGGCCCCGATTGTAGTGAATCTTGCTCTATCAGTAACTCGCTTTATTTGTATTAAAATTATACCAGTTTTTTAGTATACCAAAAGAATCGTTCGTTCGTTTCAGCCAAATGACGTCCACTGCTGGACAAAGGCCTTCTCCAAGGTTTTCCACAATGAACGGTCCTGCGCTGCCCTCATCCAGATCTCAAAAGAAACCTACTAATTAATTTATGTACGAAACACATCACAAGTAAATAAAAAACGAAGATTTTCTATTTGCTCAAAGAATCTGCATATAATAGCTGCATGCAGATTGTTTTATGAATAACACCAGTTCCCATTTTATTTATTTGCATATTTAAATGGAGCCGAGATGCTGTCCGCGAATGGAGTCCAGCAAACGTGAATGTGAGAACGTGGTAAGTCATTGGCCTGCAAAAATAAAACTGCTAGAATCTGGCTGTTAGTGGATGTGAAAACGTAGACCTAGCTTCTGCCGCGAATGGAGTCCAGCAAACGAGAATGTGAGAACGTGGTAAGTCATTGGCCTGCAAAAATAAAACTGCTAGAATCTAGCTGTTAGTGGCTACGCAAACGTAGACAATTTAGTGACTGGCGCATATTACAAGCCACCAGTGGATATTTAACTGACTGAATTTTCATATAATCTACATGAAGTAGGTAACTTCTTTAGTTTTTTTATTGTTCGCCTTCTTTATTATTAAATGTCAGTATTACAAACAACAACAATCATGTCTAATGTCCGTGTCGCATCCACTCCTTTGAAGGTTGGAGACTCTACACTCGAAGTTGTTGACAATTATGTATACCTGGGACAAACAGTCCAGTTAGGTAGGGCCAACTTCGAGAAAGAGGTCAATCGTCGAATCCAACTCGGCTGGGCAGCGTTCGGGAAGCTACGCAATATACTCACGTCCGAAATACCGCAGTGTCTCAAGACAAAAGTCTTCGAGCAATGTGTGCTGCCAGTGTTGATTTATGGATCCGAAACGTGGTCGCTTACTATGGGCCTCATAAGAAGGCTCAAGGTCACTCAAAGGGCGATGGAGCGGGCCATGCTTAGAGTTTCCCTGCGTGATCGAATCNTACTTACCTACATACGTACCTCATTACAAATAAGTAGATTAATTATTTTTTCACTAGACAGCAACCCTAACAGCGTAAGAAGAGTTCAGAGGCACGCGATAGAAAGAGACAAAACTTGTAGGTGAATAAAATTGTAGGTACGTAGTGCTGTGCGAGCTGAATGCCACTGTATCGCGTCGTAGCAAGACTCGCATTTATTTAAATCGTCTTGCGGAGTAATCCTTCTGTACCTGTACTATTACTTATTCTGTGCTTTTGTTTGAGATAATAATACAACTTTGGCCTTCGATTGATATTTTGCGCAAATGCGGTTATCGCTCTACAAATATAGTGATAAGTGCATTCCTAATCACCAGTGCCTTATGTAATGCCTGCGGTTTTTTACTTTTTGGTATTTTACATGACACATGCATGTTAATTATGGCACGCAATAAACTTCTTACGACCGTATTCACAAACGAGAAGCAGCAAATCGAACGCACAGCGTTGAATAGGGCTCTGATTGGTTCGTGTGTCACCCTGTGCGTCCACGCGCACTGTATTTATTATGAATTTATCATCATCACATAACAATGTAAATAAGAAATGATAATTGTTTTATTCCTAGTTTTTTTTATTGCCAACAAGGAAGCTTGCCTGCATCACATCTGATGGAAATTCACACGGAATCCTCAACCACAATGGAACTGACTATCTATATCTAATTGGCGGAAATTAAAGGAAAATATTTTAATCTACTATCACAAAAAGATGATTTCGCAATGGATTCTTATTTCTCTGACATTTCAATTCAACGGTCATCTAAACCAGAATAAACTTAATACAAAACTATATTGCACAATATTCTGTTTCATCAGAAATACTAAAACCTTAACCCTTACTCATACTTCTTAACCATGTATTTCACGATTTTCTCCTCTCTTGGGTAGTCCAGACCGGAATCGGCGAGTTCTGCCCACGTGACCTGGGCTATAGTGGTAAACCCACATTTAGCAGCTAGCTTCTGCGAAGCTGGTCCAGTGAACACTGTAGCTGTCCCTTTTATACCCACGGATTTACAGAGGGGCTCTCTGAAATAGAGAATGGGGAAACTTGTGACCGCATTTAAAAGTAGACCAGTTTTTATACCTGAGTGTACAGAACATAAAGTGTCACAAAATGATAAATTCAGACAAATGTTTGCCTTACCAATACCACCAATACTACGAATAAATAGTAAGTGCCGAAAAGAAGATGCTTTTATCTTTAAAAAGAGCTCTTTAAAAGTCAGAAAATCAATTTATTTTATTTTATTAGGCTCTTTTTTAAGCAGTACAAGGCAAGTTTTTAACCGCAAAATCGCACTTGCAGTGCCGTGCAGTCTGGGATGGTACATTATTATCTGAAGTGCTGATTCACTCTCACCTTGAAAATGCCCCAAATTTAGATTTCGGGAAAGAAAGCAGCACGCAACGAATTCCAGTCCCTAGCTGTTCGCATTATAAAACTCACCTGGCTGCCAAAATTCTGCCCCCCAGTCTGGACCCTCGGAACTCTCTGCTGACGACTAAGCCCAGTGCATGAAGTAGTACATCGGTTCCGACCACTTCAAACGCATCTTTCTTCTGCTCTATGTAGTCTATCACAGCATACACATTCTTCCACGCTTTGCCTTCAATCTGTGAAGAAATAAATAAATAAATAAATAAAGAGCACTGTGATTAGCGTAATATGCCCACTTCCTAACTAAGGTTCGAATCAGCGTTTCTTGGATCTCGAGTCAAAAAGTCCGACACCGACACCGGTGCCTTTGGTCCACAACTTTTTAACCTTTGGCACTTTTCAACCTTTTATACATATATGTTACAGGAAATGTATGAATTCTAGGAATTGTATACATCTCCTAGGAAAAGTATACAATTCCGAAGCTATTTAGGAAATGTATAAAATATTTATTCAGAGATTATTCAATACGCACATATCCTAGGAAATGTAGTATACAGTTCCTAGGAATTTTATAGAATTCCAATGTCGTATTAGGAAATGTATAAAACGAACACTATGTGTGAATAAAATAAGTAAATCACGTTTATAAATGAAGAATCAAAGTTTTTAAGAGTCTCATTGAGACATTTATGTAACAATCATACAATGTTATGTAATATTTTAAGCTTAATAAATCAATTAAGTATTAATTCTTTAATCGGATGATGCAATACCCTCCCCTCGCTCCACGCGTATTTATTGAAATCTTTTTAATAATAATATATTACATTTCCGATTGCTGTTTAGGAAATGTGTGTAATATAATTTACATCATACATTTCTGGGTGATTTTAGGAATTCTATGTATACAATTCCTAGGAATTGTATACAATGACGGATTTCATACATTTCCTGTAAAATATACACTCGGATGTTTTACTCATCGTCATCTCAGCCTCAGGACGTCCACTGCTGAACATAGGCCTCCCCCAATGCTTTCCATGATGTCAGGTTGGCAGCGGCTTGCGTCCAGCGCCTTCCAGCTACCTTTACGATGTCGTCGGACCACGTTGTGGATGGACGTCCCACGCTGCTTATGAAGGACTGCTTACCGTTAATTCAGGGTGTTCTCCTTTCTCCATGACAGTGCAAGCGTTCAGAGCCACGAGGGTCATTGGACCGTCTACCTCCGTGTAGCATCCTAAGGTCATACGCTCAGCTATAGTCTTCCTCCAGACCTCTTCGATACTTGCTATGCTGACTGGGTCGTTGTATAAATCTGAAGATAGTTAAATAAGAGTAAACCTCCGTGGTTTTGTCTTCCGGGCTCGTTACGTTAAGTATTCGTTCGATAAGTCGAATTTATGACGGTTAAAAAATCTAGCAGGGTGGTGATACTAACACACAAAAAATAAAGTAACAACAGGGGAGACTGAGGTGAGTTGTGACAGAGGAAAGTTGTGAAATTGACGATTTTTTGGGACTTATTGATTACTAGCAAGCTCGTAACAGTGCGCGTTTTCAACCGACTTAAAAAAAAAACCGGCCAAGTGCGAGTCGGGCTCGCACACCGAGGGTCCCGCCGTACAAACGTAGCGGTTTACAATTTATGACGTATTAAATCAAATTACTTACTTGATTCCGTTGCGAGTAGTGGCGAATTTCAAAATATGCGGCCTACCTACCTCACCTACCTCAGCGTTTTGAATTTTTGCGTTGATTTAGAATTTCTCACAGTTTAGAGGCAATTAGATTTAAGAAGTGTTTGATATGAATTTCAACTTTAATATCTCTACGCGTTCATGTGAAAAAGGGTAGGTATTAAGTTTATAATTATTAAAAAAATATTGTATGTCATGTAAACAAAAATAATATTTTAAATTTTATATAGGTAACTTCAAATTTTTCATTTCCTCATTATTTCCTTTATCTGTACTATATGTATAACGTTGCTTCGTGCCGAATTTCAAGATTCTGAGTTCACAGGAAGTACCTTGTAGGTTTTGATTCCCTAGCGTGTGACGGAAATTCGTCTAAGGTGTCGGTATATAAACTGCTGTATCTTTTGATCGCGTTAACTTAGAAGTTTGATTTTTTTACTTCTTAAGGCGATTACATGGCCGGACGACCTTGAGCATTAGAGCGAGACAACGCGCCTCCCGCCGCGCGCCCGCGCTTCTGCCCGATATCAATGAGCGCTCAGAATACAGATGCGAAGCGCTGCCAATTCTAACATAACTGCCTACGGGAATGTTGACTCGATTTTAATTTACGCAGATCGAAAAACATTGCGGTGCTTATTTTGTTTCAAAACAGAATTAAAAATAANATACGTTCACGCGTTTTTGAGATAAAGGGTCTTGACAGACGGACGGACAGACGGACAACAAAGTGATCCTATAAGGGTTCCGTTTTTTCCTTTTGAGGTACGGAACCCTAAAAAGAGGAGGTTCTCAATTCGACCCGTATGTTTTTTTTTCTATGTTTGTTACGCGATAACTCCGTCAATTATGAACCGATTTGAACAAATCTTTTTTCGGCGTATAGGTAATACCTCAAGGGTGGTCCCATATAAATTTAATAATAAAAAACAACCCCCAATTGGGGATGAACTTTTTATACGCAATGTCTCCGCCGATTATAAACCAATTTGAACGATATTTTTTTTGTTGAATAGGTATTATCAAAAGGGTGGTTTCATGCGAATTTGAAGAAAATATTTCACCCCCAAGGGTGGAAAATTGGGGATGAACTTTTTTATACGCAATATCTCCGCCGATTATGAACCAATTGAACAATTATTTTTTTGTTGAATAGGTATTATCAATTTTTTTTTTAATTTTTAGTTTTTTTTTGTGTTCACGCATTTGAAGTCGGTTATATTTTTTTTTAAAGTTAATTATTTATTTCAAGAGCTAACAAATACGCGCTGTTGTGAGCTCGCTCGTTATAGATTGACAAAACTTGACAATGTCACAACTCTGTTACACCTCTCCTCGGTCTCTCTACGTCAACATGACGTCATTATACAATGAAGAAAACTCACCACAAGCTGCACACAGAGCCTCATCAGGGACTAAAACATCCACCAGCATTCGCAGGGCTTTCTCGTCGTCTTCAGGCCGTAGGTCCTGCACCACCCAGGTCCTCCCGTTGGCTTCCCATCGGTCCCACACGCGTGGGCAAGACGAGTCCCAGTCTCTTTTGAAAACCATGACCTAAAAGGAGTTAGCTAGAGTATGTCGTGCTCTCGATTAGGTGCCTCGCATATGTGTCCAGATTTGTACAGTTTTACAGCAATCAGTAATCCGGATTTAGTTCAATCTTGGAAAGTTTTTTTAGATTAATTTTATTAAACGGTAGATAAATAATAGGTAGCTTCACTCCTTCGCAATGGACATGTGGATGATAATGGAGTATCCCAGGGTACAAGATTCTCCGAACTCTTTTATTAAGAGTGTCTATTAATGTGTGTAACCTTTGACATCGGAAAACGACGTTAATCAGGATTGGTTGACCCTTTAGTGCCAATATAGGTCAGTCTCAGTCATCATTCAATTTAGTGATCTATTCTAAATTGGCTTTTGTCTAGGTACCGCGTACGATAGGCTGCCTTCGAAATAATCCTACCCTTAGTAGTACGTAAAAGAGGATTTTTAATTATTTTACTCAATTATTTAAAGTTAAAGGTACCTATTTATTATATTCTTTGAACTTTAACAGTTTGATCACCAGATTGACGATTTTAAAAACCTTAGAAAGTTATTACATTGCTGATGATGCAAGTAATTAGGTACTTCATTCTAATCTTAACTCTAATTTAACTTTAAATAATTTTAATTTAAAAGTTTATTTAAAAATATTTTTGTTTTGCAACTCTAAATTTTAAGTTTCGTCCGATAACATAAAAACTTACAACTGCATTTTTAATTTGTTAAAGAAGAACGGTCACGCCCCATACAAAAAAAAACCCAGACCCGACAGAAACGAGACATACCTCAGTTTTTTAGTCATGTCTTAATTAGTTAAATTATATATTTTTTATATTCGAAATCTATGTATAACACCAAAATATTACCCTTTGTTTTTGTTCAGGCGTTATACAAAAACTAATACAAAATGCCTATTTATAACCAAAATTGGTAAATGTATGTATNAAATCATTGCACTAAATTCCCTACTACGGGCCGGGTGGCAACAGGCTGTCTGACCGCATACAATTATCCATGCCACTTTAATAGATACTGTACACTCAAACTCAACTGATATAACTCCAGATATAACAACTAATATTTAAGCTGGCGTTGCGTCAGTACACAAAAAACGACATGTGAAATACCTTCATTGCTCCGGAAAGAGACTATGTGATGAATTTAAATTATGATGGCGATAAATAGTATGACTCTACATTATTTCCGAAATCTTTAATATTATGTTATAGGGCAACGCATGAAAATAATATGTTAGGGGTCCGTACCTAACTCTGGGACGAAAGATAAATAATCTTACTTACCTACTTACTTACTTACTCAAGAATAAGTAGGTACCTGATATAAACCTGTTTAATAGTTGAAAGAGAATTCACAGGCTAAGTAAATAAATTAAAATTCAATTAATCGCAGATTTTGGTAGGTATAGGATACGATAGGATAGGCCTATAATACAGATTAAGTTTGGGGTGACGAGATCCTTTGGTTAATAAGTCCGGCATAAGCCCCAGGCACAGGTAAGTACCGATTGAAATATTGCTGATGTTGCCAGGTGGGTACATGCACTTTATGACTATTAAAAAATTAATTCCTGATTGATTTTATTGTCAGATAAGATAAATTACACGAATAATTAGGTATACCTACATAATATAGGTCAAAAGAGTTTTTAGGTAAAGTAACTTTATCAGACTATTGCTATCAGTATTAGATGAGCGACTAAAAATACCTAGCAGAAAGTATGACTCAATAAAATTCAATGTCGGAAAAAATGGTTTGTACTTATTGAAACAGAATAAACTCTCAATACTTTGGTTTATTTTAAAAACTAGATAAAAGATGTTTTTAAAAGTTAGTCAAAGTTTACTTTGTATTTTCAGTTTCAAAACTTACCGCGCTCTACCTTTATTACATTTCCGTTTAAGTAGTGACATCTGTGGAACTGTCGTTGGACCACTTGATGTTTCAAAGTGTTTTAATTTATCTTTTTTAGCATTTTGCTTTTGTTATTTGCTGTTGATAACATTATTACAGTAATTAATTTAAGTGTTAAGACGTTTTAATTTTATTTCTAAAAAGTAATTGGACATTTAATTCATTTTGAAATGCCCGCCAGCATTATTATCGTTGCGCTACCTCGCGGCGAAAATCGGAAACTTGAACTGAACAAAGAGAGCTAGCTAGCAACCACTAGAAAATAAGGTTGTGTTTTGTCTCTATCGAACGCGCACGCATAACGGTGGTGTGATAGAGATGCGCTGTTCACTTTCGGCCATCATAACCATCTTTCTTTCTTGTGCAACTGTTTCTCTTCGGCCGTGTTCTAGTGCAAACGCAGGATGGACGCCATTCGTGCGAGATAATTTTTTGGTTCGCTCCTGAAGCGAGAGTACATACGCGTTTGGTGCCGGGCGTGGAACTATGCTATAGTGTTATTGGTGTGCGGTGCTTTCGGTCTGGCGGTGCGGTGTCGACGTGCAAGGAGCTCAGCCTCAGGTGGAGGCAAGGCAAGGCGGCGAGCAGAGGCGCGTGCAGGCCCGAGGCATGGCGGGCGCGAGCTGAGTGGACGGCCGCGGCCTCCGGTGTCAGGCCGCTCGCGCTCCGCCGCCGGCCCGATGAGCGGGGCAGGTTCAACGCGGCGGAGGTTATTTTATGGGTATTTGCGTGAGCTGCCGGCGCCGCGATCGGAAGGCTCCCGAGAAGCGGTCAGTAGGCCTGGGCGCGGGCGGGCCCGCTAAGGGCCCAGCGGCGGCGGAGCTGCTGCCGCGACGCGTCGGTCACCTGCCAGCCATGGCCAACTCCATCTCCAACATCAAGATGACCAACCCCATCAAGGGAATCGTCAGCAAGCGTCGGAAACGATATATCAAGGACGGTTTCAACTTGGACTTAGCATGTATCCTTTTCTGTGTTCAGTGTGAATGGTTCGAATGCGGCGTTAGTTCGATCGGGTGAGTCGTTTTGTGTTCAGTTCCATTGACCTTGAAATCCCAGCACCATGTTGAATCCCATGAAACCTATTATTGCGGGCAATAAGTGAGAAAAGGCGTGATAACCTGGCGCGGCCATCCTTTTGGTTTTGTCAAGGGCACTCGATTTATAACCTATAAATTACGTTCATAAAACCATTGATGAAACCACCAGTAATATCACTTGGATTTTATAACTTTCAGGTCGTTATTACGATATGTGTTAAAATCGTCAATTTGCATTGAAATTCGTGGTCATTAAATATCTAAAGTCAAACAAGTCTTATTCGGGTTACAAGGTCTCCAGCAAGAAAGAATACAGAGGTGCTCATTATACCAAATTTGGAATATAAAAACTTGAAAAAATGAATACTATTGGACAAAAACTGGTATAATTGGCGTAAATCTAACTTGGGACACAGTTACAGTGAACATTTTAGTGGCTCAATGGTGTGAAATCTTGCATAGCAACAAGCTATATAACCTATAACTTTGTATACACAGGCTTATTTATATGGCTTTTATAGCTGTGCACACAGAAACTATCTGATAATCATTGTGGATGGCTATAGATAGTTATTAATAGGTAGGTATACAAGTGGAGTTTCTGATTAAAATGTGTGTTGTAGGGAGAATTCACATCTGCTCTGACATATTGCACATACATTGTGCGTCTGCCATGCTGTTAAAGTTATCTTTTCAGTGTTAATGTTTGAGTAAATCATTATACGACATAAGTTCTTGATGTTTATAATGTTCGTAACAAAATTGCTGTTTTATTTGAAGTCATTGGGGTTGTTCTAATGATTTGTATTTCAATAGTTGATGTAATGTAACTATTTCAATGATATTGACAACCCGATCCGATGCCTTCATGCTTTTCCCCAATAGTATAAATATGAATTTGCTGCTGATTCTACTTAGCGACTATAAGTAATAATGTAGCTTGACTTCAGATGTAGTTAATTTATACCGAAAGTATGGTAATCCTGGTTTCTTCTTTTATGTGCCTGATTACATGATATAATTTATGATGTCACAATATTAATGGAAGTTCAAATGTACTATGTCTACAGGGTGGAAACGATAAGTGATCTCACTCGATAATTTCTAAACCATACAAGATATCGAAAAACTGGTTACTGACCCTGAAAGTGCTTTACGAACTCTTTCAAACGGTACCAATAACAGGTTACAGAATAAACTGGAAGTATCTGAAAATTCAATGTTTCCAGCTTCCATACTAAATGTATGCCAACCACACAATATTAAGTGTAATTTTTTAAAATTAAATAATGAACCTAAAAAAAACTCGTAAATTGCATTTTTATTTAAAATTATTCAAGGAAAAAATTAGTTTCAGGCTTTACTTGCTATAAAGTGTTGTATCAAGTATCAAGAGATGAGTGCCATGACTGTGGTAGTACTAAATGTATGGGGGATGGAAACATTGGATTTTTTGATAGATCCAGTTTATTCTGTAACTTAATATTGATACCGTTGGATAGAGCTCGTGAAGCACTTTTAGGATCAGTAACCAGTTTTACGATACCTTCTGTAGTTTTTAATATTATGAGGCTGTACCAAATGTATGGAAGCCGGAAACATTGAATTTTCGGATAGATCCAGTTTATTCTGTAACCTGTTATTGGTGCCGTTTGAAAGAGCTCGTAAAGCACTTTCAGGATCAGGAACCAGTTTTTCGATATCTTGTATGGTTTAGAAATAATCGAGTGAGATCACTTATCGTTTCCACCCTGTATATAATATGTATTACAATAAATGTAAAAACTAGTAAATATCCAAGTTTCACCTTATTATCCTAAATCATTGACAGTGAACTGGACAGTAATTTTGATGATACAAATCTGAATTTGGTTATTAAAGTAAACAGATAATTCTGATGTATGTGTATGTAAGCACTATGCCAAAAATTTTCCAATAAGCTTAAATGGAGGAAGATGGAGCAATACATACAAATTTAAATTGGAACATCTATCAATGACCAAATACCTACATGTAACACTTGATCTTACCCTAATTAGGTTTGTGTTACATGCTAATTCACCAAATTCAATGATTGACTTGAGTAACAGAGTCCTTGTCACTGCACTGGCTATTGGCCCGCACTGCCCAGCTAATCAACACAATAGTTGATTAACACAATTTATTTGATAAACTTTAAAGTCAATGAAACAGTATATTGCAGATAGCCTTTTTTTATACACGTAGATAAATATTATATCTATGTGAAATTGTTGGGAATCAAGCATGCTTGCATTAAAGGAGATGATAATGTAAACTCAAAAACATACTGATATTAATAGGTTTTTAATTGAATGTTGTAATGTATTTAATTACTGATGCCATAATGTAAGCTTTTTATTCATCAGTAATTTCTAAAAAATGGCAGTGCCGGTTAGTATTCTGATTGACATCTAATTAGAAAATAACAAAGCATGCCAATCATCATTTATGATGTCTTTAGATTTCTTTAAATTAACTGGATGTCTTGCCTTCACACCATTACACTTATTTATAAAAGAAAAATGGAAAATATCTATTCAATAGTAATCAAATCTAAAACTACAACCTTTCTACCACTGTTGTATGAGTTTTAATTAAAATAATGACAGCATGGCCACTTTAGTCTGATTGAATGTTTGTTATCAACTTTTACAGGAAAGCTTTTTCAGCTCAGACATTACTATTATGAGCAAACATAGTATCCTACTGAAAGTGCTGCTCTGAATTCTTGTAACCTAGTTTGTTCAATAATAATAAAAATAATTTTACTCTGTAAGAATGGGACACAATTTTACTGCAAAAATATTCTCAAAATGTTATCCTCCAAGCTAGACTGAACCCTAAGAGCATTGGAGAACGTTCAAAGTCTGAAAGGCTGAAATTTACGAGGTCAGTGACACCGCGTGCATATGATTAGGGTTGTCAATCTTGACTTGTCAGACTTGTTGGCACTTGGCACATACTTAGTAGAATACGCATAGCCACCGAAAATATTGGCGAGCTATCGCTAGTCAGTCGTAGCGAAATTTTCTTTTTGGTAGCCACTCAATCAGGTTAAGTTTTTTACATTCCCTACCTTATTAGGTAGGCTTACCAATACAACTACAGTTTGTAGAAATAGCATTTGCCCGTGGCTTCACTCGTGTGTATTTTGATTGCTGAGAATAACTCCTTCTCCTAGAAACACATTTGTGAACAGTTCCAGAAATTACCATGAACAAGCATAATAACTTTCAAACAAGTTTCATGGGATGGCTTTGTTTGTCTTGTCTTTGTATTATTCTTCTCTGGTTAGCATCCCTCGGTTTTAAAACTATTTCACAATCTTTTAGAGAGCTAAAAAGTTATAGTTGGCTCATTTATAAATCAGTTTAAATAATGTAAGTTTAAATATTTCAGCGTGTAGGTATTTCGGCAATTGTCCAATATTATTACATGTTTGTTTTTTTAAAGGTAGCTCATTTGTTGAGAAATCATTAGGAATAATTAATAAGTATTGCTTTGTGAATAAATGCATAAAATATTGCTGTTTGTTTGCCTAATTGGGTAATAAGCTTTTAATAATCCAAACGGCGACGCGCGTGCGATTCGAGTCTGCGACTCTGAGGCCCATTTCAGAAACGACAGATTTTTTTTTGAACCTAAAATAAGCGCCTAATTTTCGGTTCAGCAGGCCGCCACCAACCGACCATTGTGGAAATCATTGGGGGAGGCCTATGTTCAGCTGTGAACGTCCTATGGCTGAAATGATGATGATGAAAACTACTCTTAAGACTGTTTAGTCAATTCGATGTCGAATTCGAAAGTTTGGCAGACTAAGCGCAGTTTTGACATTTGAATACGTGTCTAGTTTTCAGAGAGGTTTCAATACATAGGGCTGTCTCCAAAACCTCATCGAGGTCTTCGGGAATCGTGACTACAGTGACCTCTTTGACCATCCTTCATAATATTCCCGTACAAGCATTTCAAGGTTGATGCTACGCACCGTAACTGCATCAGGTGATGCGTGGCGTTGAGTTTTTATTACCAATGTTGCAAGGGTGATTTTCGCACGATTGTACCGGTTCAGTTACTGCTTCTGTAGAGTTGGGTCTGATTAAATAAAACTGTGCTGTAAAAAATAAAATCTGTGCTCTGACGTCTGGCACAGTGTCGGTGTAGTATGAAAGGCCCTTATAATATCGTCAGTCTGCCACGTTTATCAAACAAATATGCAGACGACACGGTAATGCAATCGATAACTAACTTATTGCTTCAATATCGTGTACGTACATCACGTTAATCATCCATCTCATTTAACTAATGAAATGTCACTATCAACAGGTAATGTTGCCCTCAAACTTCGCGCGAGTTCAGTGACCTGTCAATTAATATTAAATATAAAAGTGCCGGTTAGCATGCTAGTATTTATAAATACAAATTATCAACAAATTGCGAACTGTACCTACGTCCCGACCTACACACATTTCGAGTGCATGAAGAACTAATGATGAATTAATTACTCCATTTTAATTTTAATACTATGATGATAACTGATTACTTGCTACGTAATAAGGTGTTATATTTCTTGGGCCCTCGTGTTGTTTAGTATAATAGCATGTTGGTGGTATTCGTACGTTTTATTCTTTACAATAGATGCGCGAGCGCAGATGATCTTGAGTAGGCGGAGAATGGTGGGGATTGGGGATGTTCAATGATATTGACAGTTGTCTGATGGACAATGTCGAGTAAGGTCATTTATCGTTGTTATTTGCTTTGAAAAAAAAAATTGATGAAAATTAAAAATCTTTTTTCTATCTAATACAAGTAATGCGCTCTCAAATACTACCAAATATTGTACGTCCGAAATGGACAATTCTGTTGATACCTTGACATGCATGTATTATTTTTAACAACCAAT